ATAAAATTGAATTTAATTGAAATGTGGCCTTCTTCTGAAATTTTGAAAAACAAAATAAAGAGCTGCAACAGACCATTACAACCATCACTGTCATACTGTCTTAGGTATACAAGCCTGGAGTCCTTGAGGAGTTTGAGATGTACCCTCGTCCTTGGCAAGGCTTCAGGATTTGTTGACGCCGTCCAAAACAGCTTATGAGGGGGACCAGGGGACCTTGAGGGACTTCTACCAGAGGCCTTTCAGGAAGTTCTAGAATTCCCTGAATGTTTTCCTCAAAGTGTTGCAAGACTCTTTGAAGGTATTTCAGGAGTGCCCTCGGGCAGCTCCAGAAGAAGGTTGTTCCAAAAGTCCAGGAGTTCTTGAGGGCGTCCCACGGATCCTTATGGGTGTCCCAAGAGGGCTTGGAGGTGTTTCAGGAGACTAGTAGTTCTTAATGAGGATCTAGAGGCCCTTGACAAAGTTCTTAACTAAATAAAAAGAGTATTTTCCTCCATAACCTGTTGGTTACAATGAGCAGCATATTTAATATTCTGCTGTCATTGTCAGCAGATTAAGTAGAAAACCCTTCAGGTTAATGGATTTTCTTTTTCTTTTTGTTCCAATTTTCATTTTTGTCGCATAAATCAAAGGATGTAAATTACCTTTTCCTCCTGAGACAAACAGCATCCAATGTTTATCACTGTTGAAATACTGTTATTCAGTGCTGTTCAGTGGTAAAAGTCTGAGTCCTTACAACAGCTAACTGTACGAAGGTCTTCTTGCTATCAGTTTTGTGATTCCTAGAGTTCTTGAGGGTGTTATGGGGGTTCAGGAGTCTTTCAGTTTCAGTGATCTTTGATCACATTCAAGCTGTTTTTTTTAACTTCAATCTGGGGGAGGGATTCCCTGTGTATCCTTGGCGAGGCACAAGAGATGGTTACGGGGAGTCACTGAGTTTTGGTAAGTGTTACAGGAGTCCCTGCAGTTTTCCTTGAGGATGTCATCGGTGTACCCCATTTAATTCTAAAGGAGAAACTAGAAAGGGTTCCTTAAGATGTCCCAGGAATTCAAGAGTCTTGAAAGAGGATCAGAGTGTACATAAGGGGAATACCAGAATTATTCAGGTGCAACAAGACTTCAAGAGGCTTCCTGAAATCCTTTTTGGATTGAAGGGGCCTTGGATGAGGTCCCAGAAGTTGTTTTAGGTGTAGTGCAAAACATAGCAGGGTTTTCCTGGAACTTTAGAACTCATTGACCCTTGTTTTGTTTTGTTTTTTATTACAAAAGAATGTAACAAAACCGACTAACTGTAAAACAGTAAAACATTGTTTTTGTTTATACAAAAGCAGGATCTATTCAAGTACTGTTTTATTGTAAATTGCATGTTACTGGTTTTATATTTCTCTATTCACTCAAGGTACATATACATATATGTCTATATATACATTTTATTTAATATACTGAAACAATTATATTGCTGAACATGAACTCTCTCATCACAAAGAAGCTTTTTAAAATAAAGTGTTGTGCTGCCATCTGCTGGTGTAAAATAGGCAGGTCAAGCAGTTGACTGCACTGATTCTGATTTAATGGGTTTCTGTTTTTTTATTTTCTTAAAAATAAAAATAGTTTTTCTTGTTGTTCCTACAGATGGATGTTTGAGCTTCACTGTGCAGAATGATGTATGTGCAGACATTAGAAGGATGTTTTCAAATTCAAAAGTGAAAAGTTTCTAATGATTATTTAATGCGGTAGAAGGAGTGGAAATTATTCTGGTTTGATGGCAAAAAAAAAAAAAGGACACATTATTTTTCCAAGCAGAACATTTTTGAATATATGTCTTTATACATGTCTGGAGGCGTTTTTTTTTATGAAGTCCATAGTGTCACAGCAAATAAAATTCTTAAAATTTGTTGCAGTGAGAAATACACAAGAATATGAATATGAATATGAATTTGTTGGGAAATGTGGTATTTTTAAACTAAAAGACAGTCAAACCATTTGAATCAGTGGGAGGACCTTAAAGTGAGTTTTCAATCATGTAATTTTATTACTTCAGTAAAAGTCAGTTGTTACAGCAATACTGATTTACTGTCGGCAGCCATGTTTATTTGACGCCCTGAATTCAACTGTTCCTGACATCCCAAATACAAACTCCAGACTTTTAGGTTTCTGTGTTGTTGTGACTTAATAAAAAAACTTGACTGATGGAAGCTGTTTGTGCTACAGACTTCTGCACTGCCCGACTACCAGCAACATAAAAATATAAAAAGATCTTGAGTGGACACAGGCTTTCACAAACAAGTCAAAGTAAGTCTGAGCTGCACCTGACAGTCGTTATGTTGCATCTGTAAACGGCAACATCGCCATTTCCTCCAGTGTATAAATGTCTGTTAAAATATATAGCATATAAAAATACAATATGTCTCTTCTTCCTTTTCTTGGTCCATGTCCACACGGACGTGGACAAACATGAGAAAACCATTTAAATGTTGAAAGTTTCCACAATGAAATGTTGACGCAAGAAAAAAGCTTTAAAATCTGACACCAATCAAAGCGATCGGTTTATTCTCCTCCGATTCTGATCGATCAGCGTTTCAGTAGACCAGTTTGTGTTTCTCTGGTTTGAAAAACTGGGAAACTAAAACATGTCCTGTGAAGTTTGTAATGATTGGACCATTTGTTTGGCATTTGTGGCACCCCCTAGTGATTGATTTGAATAAAACATTAAGGGTATGTTTCAGGTACTTATGTGGACACATCCTGGAGGTTTTGTGACAATTCATTGGTCAATATCTTGAAAATTAAATAAGATATCAACAACCTTTTGACAGGCTTTATCCAATGATTATCTAAAGAAGATGTGGTAGCAATCGGAGCAACGGTTTAGTAGCTGACTTGAAATTGGACAAGCTCAATGTGCTCTTTTTTTAACGTCTGTCAGACTTACAGTATGAGGGGCGTGGCCTTTCCAAAATTGGAGTTTTGTCCCTTAACTGACCCTTCTTAGGTCCCGCCCCTTTTTGCTCTGTGCTCCAATAACAGTTGAGCAAAGCCTCATTCAGAACCATGGTCAACTTTCTCCGTTCCTGTACTTAGATAGGCTTAGACGTGTTAGGCTCGATGTTAGCAAAATTACAGCTAACTAGCAAGTTAATGCACATTAATCATTTGTTACAGACAAAAACACTAGCTAACTAATCTACATTAATAGCATTAATTATACATATGTTAATTAACTAACACGTTACATCTTGTAGATCATGTTAGCTAATTCACTAGCTAGCTCGAACTTTTAACCATCTTCGAAATGTGGTTGTCTTTTTAACATAGATTAGCCTAGCATGTAGCATATGTAAGTACAGTAAAGGAGGAAGTTGACCGAGGTTCCAAAAGGGGCTTAGAAAGGGTAAATAAACAATAAAATAAAAAATAACAATCAAGCCGAGAACAATCAAGCCGAGAACGACCATGTTTGCGATTAATTCATTAATGCTGTTATCTCGTTAAATCGAGTTGATTCCTCACAAGAACTGTTTGCTTGTGATAACCGGTTGATTATCTCGTTATCTCAATATAACGAAACAAATAACTTGTGATCTCATGATAACAGCTTTAAAAAAAACAAGCTTGTCCGTAGAGAAAATTAAAGCGATGCGATAACGTGATTACGTGAATTAACACTAACTACAGCCTGACTGAGTTTTTATAACGTGCAAAGTCGAAGCTTTTAGCTTATTAAGACACTGTTAATAATGCAAGTTGTAAAATATATATTTTAAGATGATGACATACAGATGGGATACAGTTAAATCTTACCGGGTTTCCAACGATTCCACTCTCACCTGGCCGCCCATCCTGTCCAGGTGTACCCTGTGGATTCAAACAGCATTAAGGTCAGCGGTTCTCAACCTTTCCTACCACAGAGTCAGCTGATTATATTCAACAAATACATTTGTTTTTTCCATTTTTCTAATTTATTTCCTGTGAATATGACTTTTTCTGATAGTTTTAGTAACTTTGTATAAAATCCTCTGTATTATGTTTTATTTTTAACAATCATACAGACTTTACAGGCTCAGTTCAAAGTTTTCTGATACTTTGGCCTTTGTTCTGATGCAGTTTGTGTTTATATAGTTATATATAGTATATAAATATATATATAGTTTATATATTAAATAATTCAATGTGATAAATTATTTTGTTTAAAAACTGTTTACATCGAAGATTTTAAGTTACATAAACTCAATGTTGTAAGTAAAAGATTCAACAGAAACAGAAACCACTCCGGTCATCCTCACCGGTAGACCCGGGTTCCCGGGGTCTCCTTTGGCTCCGGGGACGGTGTTATCGGCTCCTGATTCACCCTGTCAGACGAAACACAAACACATAGCGTTTGGTGTCCAGCTGTGCTCCAGCTGTGTTTGACCGTATCACTTCCTAACAGCTGATATTAGATATTAGAACTGACAGTGGAAACATTTACTGAAGACCTTCTGTGACTGCAGGGACGCTGAGGTTGAACATACGGAGGCTTTTCGGGGACAAACCTTGGCGACGGATATGATTCAGGTCCGATACAGATATTGATTATTAGTAATGAAGGATAAAGGATAAACCGATATACATTTGTAGGAGTGTAATTTTATACTTCCACTCCACTACATTTATTAATTACTTTAGCTACTTTGCAGATATTTTATAATACAAAATATAACTTTATTATTGCTACCCAGCACGTTTGCTTTCTAGCTTGTAGCATAAAAGGAAAAATGCTGAATAAATAAACAATATTTAGTCTATCCCAACTTTTTTATCTCCAAACGTGCAGAACAGCAAAACTGAAGTTTCTGTCTATAATTATAATTTATTAACCAGTTTGAATACCAACGATTGATGTTTAAATAATATATCAATAGTTATTATTCTTCAAATTGCCTTTGTTCTGCAGTTGGAAACATAAGAAGAGAGATTTGTGTTTCTTTGAGGGATTTTCAGACTTTGACATTTGGAGCTTTACTTTGACGGGCGTGCTTCTTTCCTGTTCCTTTCAGCTCACAATAAATCCGACAAATATTAAACTCTCTGTGAAGTACAAATCCCCTAAAACCTTCATGAATGAAGAAAAACAGAAACTCTTTCAGTGCTTTTATCAGCAGCCTTCCTCCATAAGGGACAGTCAGTAACGTATTATATTCAGTTAGAACACGTTTTTTTCACAGAAATAAATAAAGTGGAGTTATCGGCCTTCTGTGTATATTTCGTTTAAGTTTTCTAACACCTCTCTAAATCAAGAAGGCCTTGTGTGAAACACACACTATGTTTAAGCCTCCAACGACTCCACCAGCAGATAAAAGTCTTCAAACTGAGTGAAAATAGGGACAAAAACTAAAACACAACTGAGTTTTAATAAATAAATAAATAAGTGATACAAATCTGTTTTCCATTCGAGTCAAAGGAAGAAACTGATGAAGGATTTAAATTATTCCTGAGGGCTGATGTGTTACAGATATCTATGGCCTCACTGAGTACTGTACTACTTTATAGCTACATTATCGTATATTAACGTTACGGTACCGAGGTCATTTACAGAGTTTCTGATGGACAGATTTTTCAGTAGCTAAACGCTAACTGATGTTATCTCGGTCAGCTGTGTAGCTAAGCTAACTGACTCAGCCCCAAGAGGCCAGAAGCCAAATCCGACCAGAAAACCACCTCAGTACTCGATTCCCTGTTAGACTGAGATTGTGTTCGGTCCCAGGTCCATTGATGCTAGCTCATAGCGCTAGCTTCATAACACATACTCAAGGTTATTGGCTGCTGTAAACACCAATCCATATCCGCGACCCTCCCTACTGTCTGCTAGTGTTGCACGGTGTACCGATA